CATAATTTCTGATTGGCTGTATGGTAGTCCCTGTTATGGAAAACATGTGCAACGGTCTTTGATTGACAGTGCTAGGTACTGTAGATATGAATATTGACAAAAATATAATTAATTTGGCGGCCATCTTGAAATCCAATATGGCGGCGCCATCTGACATAATTTCTGATGATTGCATTACACTCTTTGATATTGTAAAAATGGGTAATGATCTTCAATTGGCAATGACGTGCTGTAGGTATGAATATATTGGCTAAAATCAATTATTTTGGCGGCCATATTGGATTTCAAGATGGTGGCCAGTAGGAGGCGTTATCTTTTGGGGTCTATTTTTTTTAATGATCTTTAGGTGTCATAGTATCACTATGGGAAGTTTCATGCTTTCTTCCAGAAGTGCACGATTCTACCTGAAATTCAACTTTAGTCGCTCTACTATATTGAAATGCTAAAACGCATTGTTACCTCAGTGTACAATACCTCCGTTTTAATTTTATAAGCGTTTACTGTATTTGTTTATACTTACTAATGTAGAAAAATTAAAGTAGTTTCATATAAAATTTCAGCCCGGAAACCTAGACTCAGAAATACCGGGATGGTGTCCGGCGGGGGATAGTTTAACTATTAGTTGATTAGGCGAGTTGATTGGCCGAGCGGTTAAGTCAGGGGCACCGTGACCTTCAGCTCTAGTATCGGCGTTGGTTCGAACGGCTCACTCGCCATTGGTTCCAGTGGTGGAACAAGTCTTCTCGGATAAGGACTTTAAACCGTAGGCCCATTGTACGCATTTGGCTCGTGTGCACTTTAAAGAACCCGGTACATCATTCGAGAAGAGTAGGGGGTTACCCCGGTGTACTGGTCCATTAAGTCCCCTGTTGTTAAATGGATATGCCACGTAGGACAGTGATTAAGTTCACTTATTGGCATATCCTTGGCCCTCGTGCCTAAAGAAATGAAATGAAATGAAATGAATAGTTAAGTGTTTCTTGTTTTTGCTTAATACAGCTTTTAACATGTTATTACCTCAATGCACAATACCTCAGTATAAATTTTTAAGTATTTATTGTTTTCTAACAAATGCAGGACAAAATGGAAGAATTTCCATAAATTCTAGCCCCGAAACCTAGACTCAGAAATACCGGGATGGTGTCC